CAAAATATACAGTCAATTCACTTTCCAATATATTCTGTGAAGAGCTTTGAAGTGTCTCAAAGACGTGATAAAGCTCTATATCAAATGCACGGATTATTGTTATTCAGTATATGGAATAGCAATGTAGATAAGAAAGAAATATAAAACCTGGATAGGATATTCTTTATGCAAATTGCATCCTGAACTGTCAAAGGAACACAGGAATATACAGGAATGGTTTGGACCATTAAGCCAACACTAAAAAACATATTTATTACTTAACCAGCTGTCCACATTGCAGCTACGCTTGCAACCAATGGATCCAATATGGAATGTAGATTCACACAGACAGACATTTCATCTTTATCTATACTTATCTGGGAGGACTCCTTTTGGGAGGACTCTTATCAAAGCTACGTAACCGAAAGGGTTTACTGTATGATGCTGCAGGTCCTCAAGTTATTACAAGGCTTCCATGTAGATGACATTTGCAGTTTTTACTCTTTTGGCAAGGATGTACAGGTTTTGAGATGAATCCACACGTGAGCATCCAACATAGAACTGTGCATGGGAAAAGCAGGGTGTATTCAAGAAAAGGCCAGTAACCTTTAAGGTCTGCCCTGGGCCTTGTTAATTGACATGTCAAAGCACATTTGAAGGCGGAATTGGAGCCTTTTTAACTCAAACAGGCAGTCATTTGGGAGCAGTGGGATGCGAGGAATGAATACATCTTCCCATTTGAACTGACTAGTCAGAATAGTTGCTTCTATAACATGTAACATAAACTGCTTTACCACCAACTTTCTGCCATACATAGCTTTGGTGCATATAGATTCCTCAGCAGTATTATTATGCATCCAAGCTTTAGGATGAGTTTGTGTGGAGGCATACCGGATGGTTATAAAGAGTTTAAAAACTCAGTTGGGTAGTTGACAGCACTTTTAATGTCAGGAACAGTATCTTTGGACTTGTACACAGTTTCTCGGCCAGGGATACCATTGAGTAGCTGGGAATTGATCTTGCTAGCAGATTCATTTTTTGGAGCAAGGATTGCTCATTGACACAACCACTTATGATTTGTGTAGTTATGGCTGAGGTTCAGGAAAGCTTTGTTTTTGAGCTCTTTTATATCTTGCACAATGATCCCACAACCTTCAGAGATCTGAATTTGGCCAACTGTTGGATCCTCTGGAATTTTGCCATCCTGAATTTCCAGAAGGAGGTCAGCATATGTCCCAGCTGAGGTTCATCTTCTCTACAAATGCCCACAGCCTGGAAGCCTTAAGGCTGTCATTGAGTTCATCAGCAAGGATTGACAGATCCTCTATGACACATAGTGCCTGGCAGAAGTCTCCCGACAAAATAAGTATCATTCCTCCCATCGTCTGGATTTTTTTCCTGATGCCCTGAAGTGTCCTGTCCAGAGCCCCAAAGGCATGCTTGTGCGACATCCCTTACAATGGTTTTCCAGCCCTTGGCTGCAGCTATACCCTTCTTGATATTGCACACTGGTTCCTCTGTATGAGAAAGTTTCAATGGCAGCTTGAAGGCAGAAAGAGCTGTTCTGCCACCTGTAAGTAGAGTTTCTGCAATATCAGAGGATGCAACAGCAAGTGCAATTTGGCCCCTGGACCAAATGTTGGCCAAGATGAGATTGATGAGGTATATTTTTCTTGTACCACCAGGTGCATCAAGAAAGCTAATGCCTCCTTCATTGTGGTAAACTTTGTGAAGGATACTGTGATATGCCAGCTTGATCTTCTGTCACGGTGGATTCTCTCTCCTGGACACAGTGTCGCATTTCATCTTTTTTATAGTTGAGTTCCTGGCAAATTTCCCTGGGCAAGGAAGGTGACATATTCTGTTCTGTGAGTAGAGGGCAGACCATACTGTGGCAATGCCTTTCCCCCAATGCCATTAGCTTGTCTTCTAGGTATATGAAGGCCTGGTTGAAGATGTAGTCTGGTTTGTGGATTTGCACTGCGTAGCTGATGGAAAATGTCTTCTGACGTGCTTTCTTTGTGGTTATTCCACAGCTGTGTTGGATTAGAGAGACCACAAGTGTGCAGCACGATGGCAAACAAATCCTTCAGTCTGATGGTAGACCGTGGTTCCAGTGGGTATTGTCTTCTAGGATACCCCTGAGGTGGCATGCTTCTCGGATCATATCGCAGACTTTGCCATCGAAGGTGGTAAGATCCTTATAGCTTGTTGGGCCTCTCACAGTGTGCAACAAAAGCCTTAGGAAGTAGGATTCAAAGTTGTTTGGATACACTGTGTACACTCTGCCAAGTCGATAGCCTTCAACAGGAGTACCTCAAACTCTTCGCTTCCACTTCTTGGTCTGGGAGTTCCATGTGAAATCCTTTGGGACCTCACAGTAGAGAAGGATTCTTGCAAACTCATCCTGTTGGTATAGTTGAAAGAATGCAGTTAGCGTGGTTTTAGGAAGTTCAAGTGAATGTTCAGTAAAAAACACGCTTTGGCCAATTTCAACGTGATACTGAATGTGTTGGATCACTGGATGGCATTCATATATGTGGAAGCCCAAAGTTCTCCAGATTGCTTCATTCGTGCTCACGTATTGGTCCATCTAGTATTGTTACCACGTATCTTTGGGCTTCCTCCCTCTCGAGTCAAAACATAGCCATGTCGTATCCCTTGTTCGCATATTTGATGCTCTTATCAGAGCTGAAAAACTCAACATTGAACTGAGCCTTGAAGAGCCGAGATAAGGATTGTATAGGACAACCCAACGGTTGTCTTCTTCCACCTGCTGTTTGTTAGTACTGCATGGAATCTACCACCTCCAGTTGACCTCTACCTTGTACAAAAGATACCCATCATGACCTGTTTGGGTCTCCTGTACGAAGCTCCTTGGATAATGCTTTGAGCAGGCCCATCTTCTATGCAGAGAGATTTTCTGTTAAATTGTCTATATGGGCCATGAATCATGTATTTCTTTATGATTTCAAAGAGCATAGCGACTCGGTTAAGGCATATTTTTTCGATGAGCCAAAGAATATGTGCATGAGGAAGACCACGCTTTTGCCACTCAATGGTGTAGAGGTAGCAATGGACTTCGCCAAAGACATGATTTTGGGTGCTTAACTCCATTAGTTTAAGAACTTTAAGATGGAAAACCCTGGCTGTGAGATCATGGCAGACCTGTGTCTTCTGTCCAGGCAACAGTTCCTGCTTGATCTTCTCCCAATTACAAGAGTTCCATGTGAAATACTTGTCGCATCTCTTGTTCTTTCTCTATTATGAAGTCCCAAAGTATTTCGCATGGAACTAATGTGATGAAAAGGTCAGGTTGACTGTACGCTCACACAGCACAATGCATTCTGAGTTCTTTCGAGCATAAGCCACGGCCCCTCAGTGAAACTGGATGGCAAGATAACCAGTTGACCTACCATTGCTGGTATCAACATAATGTATAACTGCATCGTGCAAATGAATGTACTCCTCAGCCCTGAGTTTCTTCTGGTTCAAGCAGGAAAAAAAGGGAGTCAATCTTGGCATAAATGTCTATGACGAATTGATGCTTGAGGTCTTTTGTACGCAGAAGGATGTTGTAATCGCCTTCACGTTGCATCAACCTGTGCGTATAAAGAGCCATAGCAGACACCTTTTGTTTGCCGTATCTGGAAATGGTAGTCATCTTCATCAAGTGGGAAGAATGGATACTGAAAGGCATTGTATGCCCTGTTAGTCTCACACACTCATTTGAGTTTGTTGTCAAGTTGCTGCAATACAATGTCCTGCTTACCATGTTCTGCACCCACCATCAGGATAGCTACTTTGTCAGTAGTTTGTGCATTGTACCATCGCTCATGCTGGCTTGCAGGTGTCGATAGATTTTTAAAAACTAAAGGGAACAAGTGATATGGGGATAGGGCTGGTAAATGGAATTAGAAGATCAGCCATGATCTTATTAAATATGAGGGCAGGCTTGAGGGGCGAATGACCTGCTCCTGTTCTTATTTCATATGTTCTTAATTTCCTCCCAGTCAAGCAGGATTCTTTGTGTACAATGTTTAGATGTGATCTGATTAAAGTGTTTTAAGATAATGAAGTGAATTGACAGGCCAACTAGTGGACAACTGCTTGCTATGGTGTACAAATCCAAAATAATGGTACTTGATTTTAGAATTAAGAGCCAAACCAGTTAAAAATGAAATCAACCATTTCTTCACCCAGGTTGTGAAATGTGGGATAATGTACTGCTCCAGATGACAAATGGGAAGAATCAATTGGGTTGTTTAAAAAGGAGAAAGGTAGATCCCATGACATATTAAAAGGTATGGAGAAAATAATCATCCTAATAATCCTTGCATTTAACCCAGTACCTTGGGACATCCTTCTGAAGTGAAAGGCGCCATACAAATGTAATTTGTTGCTATCACATCATTGAGACGTCTCAAAGGGCCTCACAGAATATATTATAAATTGGATTGACTGTATTTTGTGGGTGAAATGTAGCACAGTTGCACAGCAGTGTCCCACAAACAGTTATTGATTGAGTGATCAAATTTGTTTTGAGGGATTACCCCCAGAATGTGATCTGCCGATTGACTTTCAGCCGGGTTCCTACTTCTGCTAGGTAAACAGAAGTGTGTGGAGTAAGAAAGAACTTACCTAAGGTTTTGCTCCACCCAGGAATTGAACCCAGGTCCTCTCGCTTGCAATCCAAGTACTCCAACTACTATGCTACAGGAGTCCCATGTCCTGGAGAGGTGTAAAAAGGCAGGGAAACTGAATTAAAAGATCTTCCATGATCTAACAAATTGGTGGAACAGGTTGAATGGCCTCTTTCTGCTACTAACAAAAGGTCATTATGATCAAAAGAGCTTTCCAGGCAGATTTGTCAGCACACCATATAACACAAGCAAGTGGGACAGTGGCCTCAGAATCACTAGAATGTCAGCAGCATTCTCAGAAAAATCTTCATTTATAGCACCTTAGCATGTTACAATGTGTACGTGGAACTCGAAAAAAACGAATGCAAGCATTGTTCAAAGTTTCATTGAATTTTTATTTAAGCATGACAGCTTGCTTACACATAATTGTTGTGAGGGGGAAAAAAGCTATTTAAGACTTGGATCTGTAAATAAAAATTCAAAATGATGAATTAAGTATTACTATTTATCATTGTGAGACTGTAAACTTAGTGACTCTTTCTGTAAAGCCATTTAGTGGGCTTCTGCAGATCTATCCAAGCCTACAATGCAACTTTACTGAAAGTTGCACTCTTCAGTTAAATGCAGAAAGGCACTTGAAAGCCAACACTTCTTGGTGGTTAAAAGGCAGAGGGACATTCAGCTTCTATGCGTAGAAGAAACTTTGTCGAAATTTTTCAGTAAGCTTAGTCTTCAATTCTCTGGGTAGTTTCACTGAGCACCTTCAAATATAAAAAGAAATTGTTCAATGTAATTTTTCCATCAATGTATAAAATAGATGCATGCAGCACATGATTTCTTTGTCAATTTTCTCAAGTCCTCCTCTCCTAAAGCCAGATGCCATGAGAAACCCTCTGGTCCCTTTCAAACAGCCATTTATCATGTGTAAAATTAAAAGATTTGGTGGATTCTTCAAACGTGGAAGACATTAGAGCCAAATAGATGTGGGGCAGAGCAGAGAATTTTTTAAAATCTGTATCTGACCAGGTCTTAAGCTCAGAGTGCTTCCTATGGACACTGACAATAGTCACACAAACTTTCCAAAAAGATTTAATTACACAACAGCAGCTTGCATTTATATAGTGCCCCTGATGCAGGGCAGAGGCCCAAAGTCCTCAACAGTGGCAGAGCATGACACCGAGCTGGGGGGAGATGACCATAAGCATTGTCAAAGAGGAAGGTCTTCAGGTGTGGGAGCAAAACAGTTTTCAGGAGTGGGAGCATAACTGAATTTCCCTTTCATAGCCTGAGCATCAAAGAAAAGGGTATCACCCCTATTAGAAAGAGTACAAGGCTAAAGAGGCCAATTTGAACTTGTACGGAATGCTGGTCAGGCCACAGTTAAAATAATATGGTCTTTGGGAGACATTAAGTTTTTTTTAATTTACAGAATCAGATACTTACATCTCCATCTTGTGTCTCAAATGTTTTGATCGTAATTCTTTTCTTGGATTCCAACATGGGCTGGTGCTCATAGGTGGAGTCTGTAAAACAAAACAAGTATAAAATGGAATCAACAGCATTTCGTTGAATGAACTATCTAACCTTTTGGATAGGTCATCTGATTCAGCATCAGAAAGGTTCTGAATTTAAATCCAATTAGGAATACTCAGCCCTAAAATCTTTCAAGGTTGTTAAAATGGATGCATGCCGGGGTCGGGGGGAGGGTAATAACTCCTCAGGGTTAAACTTTCTCCAGGAGATAATGACTTATCAAATCAAGCAGATCTATAATAATTCAAGGCCAACTAACTGATTCATCAAACAAGAGCTAGTGGCCATAGAACCACAGAATTCAGTGACATAGTAGGCAGGATGGTAGTTGATCCTCCACTAAAGACATCGATCCTAATCCCCAATTCCCTGCTTTTTCTCCAAATCTTCCTCTTAAGTGTTAAAAAATTAATGAATTAATTAGTGTTTATCTTATTCCTGTGTAAAGGCTGCAATCGACTTTGTATCACACAAGTGACGTGCCAGGCGTGGCTTCAACATTTTAGCAAGTCTATAGAGGAAAAGTTCCTCTAAACCTTAGCCACCATACTCCTAGTTGTAATCTCATCTACATGTCTTGTACATTTTATTGTGGTTAACTAATTTTAATCTAGTGAAGGAGCGCTTAAATACTTTTCCATTGGCCAAGAATATTACAGGACACTTAAACTAATAGAAAAAGGAGCCAATTTATTAATCCTTACATTTGGTCTAAGTATGGACTTATCCCTGTGCTCATAAAAGGACACGATTTATGTGCTCATAAAAGGAAAAAACACCTACCATGAAAGGATAGAGAACTAAAGCTTGGGATGGGTCCAGCAATCCTGTAAAGAAAAATATGACTTTTATTTCAACGTTCCCCATTTACTGATATAAAGTGTGTGCATTTCTGCATAACATCCAATAGTAATTCAGATCAATGGTCATTTTTTTTTAAAAAAAGGACAATTCTCTTCCTTGACAAAGTACTGTTTACTTCCCCTTGCTTCTCCCTTCTAAAACAGATGAATTTCTCCATCCATATGGTCCATTCCAAGTAGTGGTCAAGTTAGAAACAAATGAACCTTACACCTCCAGATAATAATGTCAAGAGTTAGGTGGTAAAATGATTCATATGAACGGGATTTGGATCAATAGTTATAGAAATGTATCACTGTATCAATGACTAGTCTCAGTAGTCTCAATAATATAAAGCTAAATACAAAGATGTGTATCTGGATTACCTAAACCATTAATGGTATTCACTTTATCATAGGAAAAAGTTTTGTTTTAAAACCTTCGATGTTTAAGTGAAAAAAACAAAAAAAAAAACTGCTTTCTCCAACTAAACAGGTAAAAATTGAGGCTGCTATTTCGCTCCAGTCCAGTCAGTGCCTCCTCACTTCAGGGGCTGACCATATCAACTGCCTCAGTTGCTCCCTACAAATCACGGGAGTCCATTTTGAACTTAGGGTTTTGTTTGCTCTCAACTCTCCTTCAAACCTTTCATCTAGACTCTGACAAAGTCCACTCCACATCTGCATCACTACCTCATCCCCAAATAGCCTCAAGTCTCATCCACACCTCTGTCATCTCCAGAATCGATTTTTTCTGCTCATCAGTCTCCCCAGCTCCACATTTTGGAAATTCCAAACATTTGCTGCTTGTGTTCTCTTTAATATCAGGTTTTGCAAGCCCATCATTCCCATCTTCACCTGGCTGCATTGGCTTCCAGTGGATCACTTTAAGACTCTTGTCCTCATCTGCCCTACTCCCCTGGTCACTTCACTAACTCCAACCTGCTCTGTGCCCACTGCTGCTCTGTCCCACATCAGCAGGCAAGCCTTCAGCCACTTTATCCCTATTCTCTTAAAATCTCTCCCGAAATCCTTTCACCTCACACCTTCCCTCTTGACTTTCAAATCTTGGTTTTCAAACGAAGATCTTTCACCACCCCCCCCCACCCCAGTTCAAGCGCACAGAAATCACACAAATCTTGCACCTGGTTTCCTCTCCCTCCAGAAGCTTCCTGTAGGTTGCAATCTCAATATCTAGGGCCATCTTTACATTCAATAGGTCCTGATATTCTTGCAAGTGACGGGACATCTCATCCTTCAAATTATGGATGTCTTCTTCAAGCTGACTGATGTTGTCCTGGTAGTTGTTTGCCTCCATGGAAAATCGTTCCTCCATTTCCCGCATTTGGTGCTCAAGAGATTCATTCTGTTTTAAAGCAAATAATTACATTTGTTGTTAATTTTCTTTCCTCTGTTTCCCTACTTCATGCATTCCAGCAGCAGCTGTATGTGTAGGGAGGATTTTCATAATATCTTGGGCTGTGACTGATTCTAATGATATTGAAAGCATTAGATATACAGGAGACATTATTCATATATTCTAGAAAATAATCTTGTAGGAGTTTACCTATTCTTCATTGGGAGAAGAAATTCCCATTGCCAAGTCTCACACTAAAGAGAGCTAGAATGCATACAGCTGACAGGTTAGGGGAAGAGTCAATCAAAGTATAATGAACAGGGGATAGAAATTCTGCCTGGGTCTTGACTTTTTCTTAAGCATTTTAAGGTGTGAAGTTGGACAATTCTTAAATCTAGTCTTCATTGGAGGTAATTTTGCAATTTTAAAATGATCCACAGAAAACTGTCTTCAAACATAAAATAGAATTGTCCAAAAAGTTCATGTTCTACAAACCTTAAGAAAAAAGGTCTAAGGCTAAACTGATGGGGATATTTCACTCAATAATTGTAATACACAAATCACTGAGAGCAATTAAAAATTGTTCAAGAAACAGGAGATTTTATGTAAAATGCAAGGATTTTGATTACTTGAATTTTCTGCAGTTGAATGTTGGCAAGATGGAAACCAAACTCTTCAGTTCCTGTCAACATCTTCACTCCTGCAGGCCTGAACACAACTTCCCCGGGCTCTCCCTCAGACTCTCCGAACCCATGCACAACTTGAATGTCAATTTCTATCCCCATGTTTCCTTTCTACCCCACATCCATTCCCTGACCAGGACCGCTTTATTCCAACTCCACCACATTGCTCACCTCTATCCATACCTCACAACCGATGCAGCTAAAATCTTTGTCCACACCTTAGTCACTTCCTGACTGGACTATTCTAATGCCCTCCTCGCTGGCTTCCCCAGCTCCACCATACACAAAATCTAATTAATTTAAAACTCCACTGACTGGATACTCACCCTCACGAATCTCCGTACCCTTATCACACCAGTCCTTGCCAGGCTTCACTGATCAATCTCAAGATCCTCTCACTTGTTTTCAAATCACTTCATTCCCTCACACCTCGCTGCCTATCTGACCTGCTTACCCCCCACTCCACCATCCGCTGCCTCCACTTGGCTGGCTCTGGCCTCCTAATTGTCCCTCGTACCCTCCGTTCCATCACCGGTGGCCATGCCTTCAGCCACTATGTCCCCAAATTCTGGAACTCTCTCCATCAATTCCTCTGCCTTGCCCCCTCCCTCCCCACCTTCAAATCCCATCTAAAGACCTTCCTTTTTGATTGTGCTAACGGTCATCTCCCACTTCCTCTCCGCTGGTTCGTTGTCAGACTCCACCACTATCAAGTGCTCTGGGGCTCTATCCCACATGAAGGCTGCTATATAAATGCAAATCGTCGTCGTTGTTGAGACAACTTACCGTTCCCCGAAGTCCATTAATTTCACTGGTCAGTGCCTGGACTTGTCTACGTGACTCAGAATTCTCTTGTTTTGACAGACGCAAGGCATCATTGTTGCGAGAAGCAGAATCAGTAAGATCAGTCAACTGTTTCAAAAGAAGGATTTCAATGAGTGCTTGAAAAATTTCTATGACACATAAAGACAGCATCCCAAAGCATTTATTGTAGATCCCCCCCCCCCCCCCGATGGTCAGGTTAACAAAACAAATTCTCAATGTGAAAGTCCCAGATTCAATCAGGGTCAGGACACGTAGAATTCTCCACTCTTCAAAATGTGCGCACAATGCTTTAAAGGGTACCTCCATTTTACATCTCATTCTAAAAACAACAACTCCCAACAATGCACCACTCAGACAGTACTGCTCTGCAATTTCTCCCTGGATTATGAGGTCAGGTCCAGACATGGATCTCTAATACGCAACCTCCTGACCTAGTAACAAGCATGTTACTAGTTGACACAGGAGAGACATAGTGGGCGACACTGGTGGGTTAGGAGTCAGAATGGGTATGTATAAGTTGGAATACACAAGGTTTGAGTGTTCAGCTTGCAGGTTGGGACACATTGCAGGAGTGGACACTGTTTTTATGGAGGAGACTGAAAAAAATAGCAAGGAAAATACAAGTCAGCAATTGGCATGAGCTACTATAATAGGACTTAACTTGGACCAATGACTGCCTGGAATTCAAAGTATGTTCTGAATGATCCCTGATCTTTTAACATTTTTGTTTTCAGTCAAGCTACCTCAAGATATTCTGCAAATGTGCTCAAAAATGAGAAAGAAATATCATAGTTCACCTTGGACTTGTACCAATCCTCGGTTTCCACCATGTTCTTAGCAGCAAGGTTTTCAAACTCAGATCGAACTTCACGCAGAGCTGCAGTGAGGTCAGGTTTAATCACATCCATCTCAATCTGCACATGCTGACTCTGGAGCTGAGCCTGCAGTTCATTAATTTCCTGAGGAAATGGGTAAATTCAGGTAAATTTGAGTGTCATACTATCCAAACAGCCCCTGTTCTCCTACGTAAGGAATTTTAAACAAGAGTACAATACATTTTACAATTACAGCATATAACACGAGGGGATTTCTGATATTGCAACTCATAAAATATGAAAGCTTTATTCTCCATCTATTTCACATTACTAATAATAATCCTTAAATTTGAGTAGAACACTTTTCACGTCAGGAGGAAGTCTCAAAGTGCTTCACCCATGGCTGTCTGGGCACCTGAGTTGGGGAGGGAAGGAGAGGTAGACAAAAGAGCAACAGAGTACCTCTTCATGAAGTTTGTTTAAGAATACAATTTCTTCTTGCAGAGACTCCACCTTGCGTTCCAGGTCCAAACGAGCCAGAGAGGCATCATCCACATCCTGCGTGAGACAATACAAACAAGTCCATCAAGGGCTTGACAAAAGCAATAATTAGCACAATTACAATGATTTACAAGAACTTTTTCCTGATAGTATAACAATGGCTATATTACAATTAGCTACAGTTAATAAACATGCTGCACAAATAGGTTTTTGCCTAGTAATCTATGGAGTGAAAAAGCATTATGAGACGTGACAATTATCATCAGGATGTGTTAACAATCATCAGTGATATTTATCATGATATAATGCTGACAGGTGATCATTATCACATACCACATTTTCCATCCTGCATTCTCTGGTGGACTAAATGGGTATGTACATGTTGTTGTTCAGTTTCCTTTCTTTGTATTACTCCAGACAAACAAAAATGTCCATGCATGTGTGGAACTCTTCAGTCTGGTTTGGATGGTGATGGGTGTCTGCAGGTGCCAGACACCTGATTAAAACAAAATATATTTTTTTGGATCATTGGGTAGCTGGGCATCTAAATTAGGCTTCTGTTCATTTAACATAAAAAGTCAAACAGAGTTGCTTGCATCTTAAAAAGAGATTAGTAGAGAGTGACAATGTTCCTGAACAGACATCTCCTTTCACTGAATATCCGATAAGTTTACAAACTACAACAAAGGCTTCAGAACGACTCTAAAATGCCCTGTTAAAACAGCACTCGAGCAGTAATTCTGCATATATTCTTATTTAACTTATTCTTTGAATATTTGTTGCTTATTTGTTAAATGAAGTGAATTATAGAAATGAGAGATAAGAGACTATTGATCCATTAACATTTTATACAGCATCCTTCACGGTGGGAGCATGTCTCAAAATGCTTTATAGGACCCCATTTTGGAGGAGAATGTGGCAGCCAATTTACACACAGCAGTGTCCCACAAGCAGCCATGAAGTTAAAGGCCCATTTTATCTGGGGGACTGTTGGCCAGAACATTGGTAGAATCTCCCGCTACACTGCCCGAACCCAGTATTGGACTAAATTTAATTTGAAGTCCCATCATAGGGGTCGAGCTTACAAAATCTGACTCGGAGGTAAGAGTGCTACCAATTGAGTCAAGCAGACATGATTGCATTAGTGTCAGTGTTTGCGCTTCAATTAAAGCATCTATTCTAATTCAAATTCCCTGATCTTTCTCCAATAGCCTCTCATACTCTTCCTCCACATAAACATATCTAATTCCCTTTTAATTGTCCCCAATGTACCCCTGGCGATTCATTCCATATTCGCAGAACTTTCTGAGAGAATGTTTTTCTTAATTTTCCCTTTCATGTTCCTGGTGATAATCTTAAGTGCATTCATGCGAGTAATAGCATTCGCCTGTTTAGATAATTAATGTACTGCTGGAGTCTGAGTTTTGAAAGTTGATGTAGTTACACACTTCACTTCCAAAGACTGGAATTCTACCAGAAATAAATCCTGACTCATTTGCAAGGTTGAAAGAATTGTGAGTTCTTTCACTTGACAGAACAGTAACATGGAAACCCTCCCCAAATAAGCTCAAACAGATGGCTTTTTGCGTTAAATGGATTGCAGCACTCCCTGGGGTAAAATGCCACCTATATCGAGATTTTCTCTCTTTATTAAACATTTCAGAGTGCCCATAAATGTTTGTAGTTCTAAAACAAAACTTTCAGAAAACTGGCGTCAAAATTAAGACCAAATTCAACAGTTTGCTAATTTCTCAATGCTCTAAAACTAAGTTATTAAAGTAAATCTAGACAAGGTTGGAATTTTACCCTTTACATTTCTTGTGATTTTCAAAATTAATAATGCTCAAAATGACCTCCTTGGGGGGAATATGTTCTCACTGCCTGCTTGTCAGCTATCAAGTCCTGGATAATCCAATACATTTTCTTCATCTGAAGACGGATGAAACAGAAGCCATCCTCCTCACCTCTTGCCAATACGTCCTTGTATCTGGCTCAGACTTCCTCACTCTCTCAAATTCACTGAATGAGAGGGTAACCGCAATGTTTGATTTGACCCTCAGCTCTTTCCTTTCTCACACCCCACTCTGGACCAAAATGCTTTTCTGTATTTTCACCAAATCACTTGCCTCCATTCCCTATCTTATGCCCAACACTGCCAAAAACCTTCATTCATGCCTTTGTTACCCATAAACTTGACTTTTATAAATGCCCTCCTCTCTGGCCTCCCCAGTTCCACTGACCACAAGCTTCAGCCCATCCAACATTCGGTCACCTGCACCTGCACCTGACCATCTCACCTGCAAATTGTGACTAAAACAGGATCTTGATGCCGGGAGGCTTTTGAACAAAATACTAGACGCATTATTTTTACAAGTAAATTCTCAAATGTCACAATTTTGGCCCGAGGGTGTTTAACAATTACATTGAATACTGCTGAATTTAATTGGAATGATTTTCTCTGCCATGAAGAAAACAAGCTTTTAGTAGCAGACTTTTTGCAGCAGGTGCAAACAATCCAGTGAAATTGACATGAAGTGTGAGCAAAATGTTCCCATGGTAACTGAGAGTAAATGTCATACAGGCTAACAGGATCAGTTCGGTCTGTGCTGAGTTAACTGGTTGCACTCTGAACAGTGGCGAGGATGCTAAAAATGGTGTAAGTGTACAAAGCTGAGAGGGATCTTGCCCCTGATTGAGGTCTGGTGTTCTTTATTGGAAATGTGCATGCGTAGGTGGCAGGCAAAGAATACAAGCAAGCTTTCAGCTTCTCTCAGAATATGTTCCTGCTTTCAGTAGAAAATAAAGAAGAAAGGAGGGTGTATTCTTATAATAGCATTGGATCTCAGATAGTAGCAAAAAAAAACTTAGCTTCTATTGGCAGGAAAAGTAACTTTGCCACATCTTTTCCTCATCAATGACACATCTCTCCTGCTAATAGGCCAACTGCACTGGCCGTCGCTGCTTCAATTAAACTATTCAATTTCATTATTAATATTCACACCTGCTACATTCAACAGAGCTGCATTCCAAGACAAATCTTGGCTGGAACTTTATTGATGTTATTGGAATATCTCCTTCCCTGATGTTAGTACCCTGCAACCTAAGTAGCGAAAACACTAAGTTTTATGGCATCTTTAAACCGCAGTATAAAATGTCTCAGTGGCAATGCATGAGTGTGGTGTGATGCCTCATGTGATCCCATAATAGTGCTACTTGTTTTACTGTACTACTAGCTACTCAGAGCGTTATTCAGTAGTCTGGAGCAGACTGCCCCACCCTACTGCCTGAAGAGCAATGGTAAGATAAACTAGACTCTTCAGTCTTGAAAAGATACATTCCAGAAGCAACCTTACATAATTATATGAACAAATAGAATATGAAGTGTGGGGAAAGGGGAGGAAGGGGAAATCTAAATTCTGTCATTGTTGTTTAACTCATAAAACTTCTGCACAATGGTAGAGTTCCGGTATTAATGATGTAATGGCCAAACCAATGATTCTGGCCACACTGTCTCAGATATGAGCTGTCCCATCATAAGAGTCAGCAAACAGAGACTAAGCATTTTCTCTTAGGAATAGAGGGATATGGAAAGCTAAGTAAGCACCCCAGGCTGCTCACGTGTAGTTGTAGCAGCCAGCAATGGGACATCATTGGTAAAATGCTCCAATTGTTCAGTGAGTACATGAACCCCACAGTGCATTGCTGAACATACATGTTATCAAGAAAGTCTTAGGCAGGATGAGCCTTGTTTGAGCCGAATCTGCTCAACTGGGGTGGGATGGGGCACGGCTACTGACCGTGTCCACAGACAAAAATCAACCCCAGTTCCCACTCAATTGCTACCTGGTGGTTTCTACTCAAAGGTCAGATGCACGACATTGGATGAGGACAAGATAACATTCAACAGTGTCTTGACTCTTCATGCCCTACCTACTGATATTCACTAGCCTGATACACATAAATAACAATTACTGTGTGTGCATTAGGTACTCAAAACAACAACGTGCATTTATATAGATCATTCATGAAAAATAGCCACTGTATCAGAGCAAAAACACAATTTTCAAACAAGATGAATGAAGTCAAGGTATTCTAGGCTTTTGAGAAGGTCTTCAGCCAATCTTTGACAAGGAGTTATTTCAAAATGAAACCGACACACAATCAGCGAAATTAAACTAAAATTTAAATATAATTCTCATACATAGCATTCGTACCCAAAAGCTTCTCGCAAATCTGATTTAAAGCAATTCATAATAAATAGACATAAATTATTAGTTTTTGCTCTCAGTGCGTTTGGATGCATTCTGAAACCTAAAAATACTTTTAGACGGTTAGCTCCGAAGAAAGTTCATTACGGTTTTGGGTCTTAATTATTCTGTGCACAATTTTTAGGAACCTCTAAAATGCAGGCTGTTCCTACACTTGGCACACAGTAATAACACAACACATTTGGCATATAATAATACTAATGCAAGAAAAAATACCATATTAATGGTTTTAAGGTAGGATCCTGGGCGAAACGTTGATTGAAAATGCTATATTTAACTCCCTTTATCGACACAAGTCTCAAGACTAGAATGAGGGTGTGTCCCTGTAGTCGTTTAGTTCCTTTCTGATGGGTGGGTGCAGTTCGGTCTGAGCTC